CTATGAATCAAATCTGACTTGTGTAAATATGCAGGAAAAATTCTCCCAAAGATAAAGTCGACAGCACTACATATTGAACAAAAAGGTCATGCGTGGCCCCCGCCACACCTTCATCTTTGATCTCATTAGTGTGCAACCAGTAGATCTCCACAGTTAGATGATGTGATGAGTTGATCTTCACTTCTACACACACACACACACACACACACACTCCTAATAGCTCATTTAACTGCTGTGGTTTCTTCCGTCTAAACTTGCAACCCCCGCACTGTCACTCATTTTTAATTGGAAAAACAGCCTCATTCCTGTATTTTCTGCACATTAATTCCTGTAGGAGGCCTTTAAACGACTAAAGCAGATGAGAAGAGAAAAAACAAAAAAAAAACAAAAAAACCCACAGCTGGTGTTGCAACGTATCAGAGCTTGGTGTCATCTGTTCATTTTACAGGAAAGCAGAGTGTTCTTCTCTGCTTTTGTGTTTACAAAAACACTCACGAGCTGGTGTAGGATCAGTGACCTAGTCGCCACCACATTCTCAGAAATGATCAGTCAGATTCATGTTGGGGTGTAGCATGATCTGTAACCTTGTCTCACCTCTACCAGAAAAAAAAGTTGAAGTTAAATTAAAAAAAAAAAAAGCTACTTATATGAGCTTCTTCAATAATAACATCTGTCTAGATCTTCGAGTTTCAATTACTCACGATGAACTTATCTGACAGGATCATAACTGAGCATCATCATCACTGGGCTGTTTCGACATGCTGACCTTTAGACAGTCATAATGCATCTTGTCATCATTTATTTATGAAAAAATGATTCCAGAAAGACCAACAACATAACAGTTCTAAATGTATTAATGCAAATGAAAACAAAATAAGTATTTTTGCCTAGTAATTGTAATTATTAATGAGCGTAGTTAAAGAAAACAGTGAGCATTGATAAGAATATCGTTCTTTCATGTTTTCTGCCTCATCTTTCTGCACTAATTCTAACAACCCAAGGAGATAAGGAGCTATTTACCTAAAAAAAGATGTAACAGTTTTCCTTCATTAAAAATGGAGCTGGCAGTGGAGCAGGTGCAAAGCCTAAACAGTGCTCTGTGGTTGGCTGAGAGGCTGCACAGCCTTTTTAATGAGCTCCCTCTTTGCAGGGCCCAGAGAGATTGAAGAATCTGGCGGTGAATGAACAGCACAGTATTGTTCACATGAGTAGTGGCCTGAGTTTCCGCTGAGCCGCCCCACCTGAACCCACCAGAATGCAAAGTGGAAGCGGACTATATATGTGTGAGCAGCTCCGGGAACGGACAGAGTCTGTTCAGGAAAAAAAAACAACCTCTTTTCATGCGGTTTGATGTCTTGACATTTGCAGTACATCTCCAGCATTGATGCCACTCACAATGAAGCTTGTGTAACTGCCTGTAACCTGCTGCGGATTAACCCCCGGGACCTGCTCCTAATGCTGGTGGTCTCATTGTTCTTCCCTTCAGTATCTCCTCATTATGCCCCCGTGGTGGATCATTTTGTTTACACTGGTCCAATAAGAACCTCAGTCACATCAATCAAACTGCCGTCACCAGATTAAACAAAAAAATCTCATAGTGTTTTTTCCTCCCCTGCTTCATTTAGAAGAAATATGAATATTACTGCATTGCTGTTCTCGTGCCACCTTGTTTACCAGGACGGAGAGTAAACAAACACAAACCTGCCACACATCAGATGGTGCTCTGTGATACAGAGGGCTGTCCTTTTTGAACAGATAGAACCTAGTTTGGCCTTCTGTTTGTTTTTTATGTTTTACATACAACATTTCCTTTTTAGCTAAAGCCCAACTCTCTAGATTTCCATCTTCCGCATGTGAATATCACATACACCCTTGATACAAATACACGCGTTTAGACATTGGCTAGAAAAAGTATCCACCGCCAACTTTGGCTACATCTTTTTTTATTGTTTTTTTGTTTTGTTTTGTAAATCAATAAAAATGAAGCTTTAAGGAAACTGATTTGAGAAGCTGAAATAACAGAATGGTTCTGAATGATCAAATCTTTGACACAAAACAGAACTGATGCTGCTTGGTACAGTATACCAAGCCTTTTTTTTATTTAAAAACATTTATAGATATTTAATGTATTTTACTAAAGTTTCTAAGTCTAAATGAACGCCGTGACATCCTCCTTTGGCTGTTGGGTACAGCCCACCGTCAGACTTCAGCTGACACTCTCCCCTGCCTTCTCTGCTCTTAGACCAATCAATTTAAGCACTTCCTTCACTCCATCCATTCTCTGGTGTCTTTTTTTTGTCCTCCTGCCTGGCAGCTCCATCTCCAACAGCCTCATGTCACCTTGCCTCTTAAAAACGATCTCTGAACTGCTCAACCTCGGCTGTACCTCTGACATCATCTCTCATTTATAGTCCTGTCCGTCCTTGTCATTCCCAATGACGATCATAACCTCTTTAATTTCGCCACCTTTGGCTGAGTCTAGTATCACTCAGAGAGCACCACTGTCTCCAGATCATTAAAAAAAAATCATCTCATAAATCATATAATACTGCCAATAGTACCAATATTCATAATGGAGGAGAAACTATTGTTTCTCTTTCTTTCAATGTATGTTCAATGGATAACTATTTTCATACAAGACACTAGTCTGAACCACAACTCCACTATAGTGTCATAGTACATTTTTAAATTTGCTGCTGAAGGCCCCATGCAGTCAAGCAGGTGATGCAAATCACATCAAAGTACCCTAAAATATGTCAAATCAGCACGACAACACATTTTTAATCAAATAAAGAACTCCCCAACAGGACGACGTGAGAGCACACAGCAGGACCAGGACTGTGGAGCTCCCAAATATATTCTGAGGTAACGTAGCTGCTGTTTAATTCACTGACTTCATCCACATCCAGATTCAAGCCACGTCTTCTGACAAACTGACTACCGTACCCATGTGGGCTGCATCACACCTCACTGCGGCCCGAGCTCTCACACACCTTCCAGGGTATTTCAGTTTTAGAGACTGATGAGAGTGAAAAGTAATGGCTTAGTGTTGGACTGGATATTTAAAAACAAGTCTCAGAGTAACAATTCAGCTCAACAGCGCCATCAATACCGGGCTCCGGAATGACCATAAAAATAAATCACCCTTCCCCGAAACTGCTGGAACGACGTTATAATCTTCATGAAAGGAGGATTTATTACAGGACTGTTGGGTTAAGCAGCATTAGATTTAGCAGGATAATAAAACGGCACATGCTTTCTATCCTCTTTTAACTGGCTCGTTATTTAGAGAATATCAAAATTAAAAATAGGACATGATAGGAGACAGAAAAAATGGCAGAATTTCCGATCTGATTCGACTGAGATCAGTGTTTGGACAATGCTGATTTTCTTTAGTATCTCTAATGAAGATTTCTCTTCATTTCCTGCAGGTAGTGGGTAACATCCAGTAGTAGGCAGTGTCTTGACTGTTTACATCAGTAAGTGTAAACAGTCAGATCCTTAAATTCCAACATCCAGTCACAACAAGACGCTCTCCAGTTTCCATTTCAAAGACTAAGGATCAGTTGTTGCATTAGCTCAGCGGAAAATAATACATATATATATAAACGCACTGTGCTAAAATTGTTATTCTGTTTACTAGGAGCTGTCACTTCCTGTAATATATGTTTATATGTGGCCACTAAGGAAAATGATGCAAATTAATGAGCAAGGGCTTGTTTTATAGCTGTCTGCGGTTTACAAGGATTTTTTTTTCTTAACTTTGATTTATCACACAATTAATACAGAGGGTCAACCAACAAGAAACGCTGCTTCGTAAACCCCACGACCAGTGTAGTTTCAGGGATTACAGATGTCATCCGTGACCTTTAGACACAAAATGCCACAACTTTATTATTCATTTTATCCCAAATGTGTGACACGGTGTTAAATGTAATTGGTCCACATTTTAAAGCCACAACGACCTTCAGATTTGACTGTCTATGAATTCATTACTTTAATTTTGAAGTGAGTTTTGACAGCAATCTAATCATTTTTAGCAGTCCCTTTTGACAAGCAGGGACATACAATATTAAATGTAGTTTGCCGCGATGTTTACTGTGTCAAAATATTTACATGACATCAATATAAACTTCTATTAATTCTATTAAAAATGTCTGTTAAACTGGATGTAAAATCACAGCATACATTTAGTTTACTAAACAAACTTACTATAAAAATAAATGTATATGTAAATAATATTAATTTATTAAAGACGATCTTGAATGTTTTACATGTCTCCCTATGTCCTTGTATTTGCAGCGATTATAAACAATCTTTTCTGGAAAATCAGTAAATTCACTTATTTTCAAGCTGCCATTTGACTTAGTCCAGGTCAGTATGGCAGACTGGTACGGTCTGTGTTCTGGGACTTGGTTTATTGAGCATCTGTTAGAACAAAAGTAAAGACTAGTGGCCGTTTACAGCATCAGACACAAGTCTGAACAACAGAGCTCCTGTTATTTTTATTTTTTATTTACTTTTTTATTATTATTTGTGACTTGGAGCAGACACGTCTGATGTCTTGCTGTGTCTGAGAGCTCTGGAAGCCTCCTAACTGTGAGTGAGCTCTGCTGTTTTATGTGCTGATCGATGAGCATTGATCAAAGAATACAGACACCGTTCAGGACGTCAGTCTCCCTGGAGAAGCTTGGAAATGGCTTTTGAGGGTCCAGCTAAGGTCATAGATTTCTGTAGTGTCCACCGTTAAAGGGACGTCCATTGATAAAAGTGTCATTTCAACCGCAGGTGTACGTCATTATAATAATAATTAAAAAAGACAAATGAAACTCTTAAATGTAACGTCGTTTCATATTTGATGTCGTCAAACCTAAATATAATGCACAAAGTGAAAACCTGCGTGCACTAACACAGGCTCTGCACGCAGCAGAACACAATATCTAATGTATGTGTGTGTGTGTGTGTTTACAGTAAACTAAAAACAACAACACAGCACTCACGTCTCTGAAGCGATTCCAGTGCTTCAGCTTACGACTGTACTGGGAAATGGTTGACAGCCATTGCTCATCTCCGATAAAATTGCCGGCTTTCCCCGCATCTTTGCCACTTTTCACGTCCACCTGGAGCGACGGTCCCGCCAGCAGGGACAGGCACAGGGACAGGGACAGGGACAGACAAGCGACGGCTGTCACAGAGACCATGACGCTGGAGCAGTTTGGTCTGGGATGGTCTGTAACCTCCTCTTTCTCCTCCTGGGGATGCTGCTGCTGCTGCTGCTGCTGCTGCTGCTGCTGCTGGTGATGGTGCTGTCCTACAGCCAGGAATCCACATACGAGACTGCTGCTGCTGCTGCTGCTGCTACTTTAACAAAGCAAATGGAAATGAGAGAGAGGGGGAGAGAGAGAGAGAGAGAGAGAGGGAGAGAGAGAGAAGGGGGAGTTAGATTTTGCATTAATTCTATACAAATTGGGACCAATGGATAGCCTTATTTTTTATTTTGAAGCTATTTCCAATATGAGATTACACGAAGTATTTCTGTACCGTTACAGCTCCTCAAAGAATACCAAATTTAATTAGACTCAGTTTTACAATTCAAACATGAATATAAAATTATTTTAAAAGAAAATTTTAAAAGGCCATTTAAAACTATAGGCCCCAGTGGTGGTTATCCCTCATGCTAAGGATATAAAAATTACTACATTGAATTTTGGAAAGAAATGCATCGGCTCAACCCACAATTTTTTCACCACAGAGATTTTGCTTATGCTGGGAGGGAGAACGAAGAGGATTATAAAGAATATTCAAAATAAAAAACAATGTTGTTTGTTGTTTTGTCTTTCAATGCACTTCTCAGGAAACTCATGAAAAATAAAGGTTGCCCATGCTGATCACAAAGAAATCATCTCGACAGTGGAACAGAATATACACTGACCACCAACTGGTGACTTTGAAAGTGTTTTAACTGTGACTAAAATTAAGTCAAAACAATATGTGAGGAAAATTGCTGCAATTGAGCTAACAGCCGAGGCAGGGCTGCCAGGCTGCTGCGGGGACAGTCAAGGACTATGAAGTGGCCTTAGGGCAAAAAGAGGTGCAATTCTGTCTTATACTTGCTCTATTCCATTATTTATTTAATAGCAGTGCAGAGAGGGAATGCTAGAGAGTAGCTTCTTTCAAATGTAGCAGGAGGAATGGTTACATTTTCACCTTTTTTTTTTCTTCTCATACTAATTGTATCCTCGGAAAAGTGGATCTGGGCAAATGGACCTGGATTCTTCCACATCTAATTCAAAAGG